ATATATATATATATATATATATATGAATGACCGGGAATAAGCAATAACACAAAAGTAGGCACTGCAGAAGAGGCAAGCTAAGTCAATTTCCAAGAGCAGAAACGGGTATTTCTATGATCTTTTTGGATCAATTTACAAAGAATAGCACAGCATAGTGAAATCTTCTCTTTCTAAGCACTATGATTAATTACATGATCTCTTTTACTTTCTTCTCTCTAATGTGTGTAAAATACAGTGTTTCTGGTGGGTAGATTACTAAATGTCTGAGCTGGCCTCATGCTCCTTTATATTTCACTGTAAAATTATTTTTTTTCTTTGCAACTTTGTTCTATTTCAGGTCCATGTATTTTAAAGACGCTCTGGAAATCAATCCTTCACTGTTCTTAATTTCCAAAGACCTTAGTACGATGCATTCGATGCATTCGCGGCCAGGAAGGCTGGTGTTGGGAGAGGCTGACACAGGTCCCAGGTGCTCAGGGCCCGCCGTAGTTTCATACAGCCAGAGGAGACTTCTGGAAAAGCTTGCCAAGCCTCAAGAACATAGCAGCCTCTGCTTCTCTGCCTTTTGTTTTTCTCTTTGTGCCCCCCCAGAGAGACCGGTCTTAGTGAAGCAGAAGGCCACACTACCATGGGCATAATCAGAGTAGAATCATCACCACTGACTTCTCTGCTTATCTTCCCTTGGGAGCTCAAAACTGACTTAGGATATGATGGAAACAAAGCTTCAGAGTTCATTTATTTGAAATAAAGGTCTGGGTATCTTTGTTTCAACTACATCAGATACATTCTAGGGTTAATCCCCAAAGCTCAGCCCCCAAAACAAGAAGGAAGGAAACGTAGAGATACTGCTACATCATTGGCTGGCTTTCCCAATTCAAGATTACTGTCAAATAGGGAAACTACTGAATGACAGTACATTTCATCACAAACACGTCTGCACTCTAGTTGGGAAGCATTCCGAGCAGAAGCCACATTACCCTAAGCAACTCCACTCTTACATCTACCTAAACACCTGTTGTGAAATGTCCCCCTTTTACTCTGTCAGAGCAGAGGCTGCTTCTGCTGCAATACAGTGGATGTAAACAAGAAACCAAAACGTCAAAAAAACCCCAGCATGTTTATAACACCCAGTTGAGATACCCACAGTCCAATGTTAGAGTTACAACACAGACCGAGAAAACCAGAGTCTTAGCTAATCAGTGGTGTGGCACTTTCTTCTTGAGTAAGGCTAACAGAAAACATGTGATTCATTTACTACACACGAAACCTAAAAATTAATTTTTTCCCAATTAGCCTCATTTCAAATACGCCATTTTCTATATCAGAGTTTATTTACATAGAGCCCTCCCGAAAAAGTCCAATGAATCACAAATGCCCATCGCATGGCAGACAGACCTGACAGTAACATGATACAGACAGAGAAGGCAGCTGACTACAAGTGTTTTCCTTTTCAACTCTCCTATCTGAGTTCAAATATTTCTTTGTTGAGTAAATGAGGACAACAAAGACACCGCAGGCAGGACAGGGAGGAAAAGGCTACACACACACACACACACACACACACACACGACAGGGAAAAACTTTCCTTGCATCCGTTGTGTTATCTGGCCACGTTGAAGGAGAAACTTTGATAGCTCTAGGATTTTATTTTGTCCTAATTACACTGATACCTGAAGTAAGAAGGAATCTCACGTCTACCATACTGATTTCCTGTTCACATACTTGGAAGCTAGTTTGCTACTGTGAGGACTGAAAAATAGTGCCAGTCTTATAAAATGCCTATAACACATGTGCAATTCTGGAGAAAAAAATTAACCCTCCTGCTAAAGGAGGACTTCTGCTACATATGCTGAGATTAAAAACAAGAGAACCAATCTTTGAATTCAAATAGCATTAGATCAGCAAACAAACAAAATGAATGTTTTTAAGAGAAGGCAGAGGAGTGGGAAACTTTAGCACCTAAAAAAGTGTAAGTGTTTTTGGTACCCTGTATAACTGCCAGATCTCTCAAAGACAAAATCAAGGATGGTATTTCATAAAAAGTAAATATGGCAACTAAATATCAGATACCATTATGATAAAGTATGTTTTAGAAGTTAAAATCTATAGGCTAGAAGAATAAACAAACATAGGTAACTTCATGATTTCCGTTTCAAGAAATGTGCTATTAACTCCAGATAGACCTTAAGTGAACTTAATAGAAAACAATTCATCTAAGTCAGCAGAAGAGAGAATATGCCTTCAAAGCAGAGTGACCCTATCACTTCCCCAAGCCACTACACTGTTAACGTGACAGGCAAAACAAGATAAAAGATCACTCTGCTTAGAGGGGATGGACACTTACAGGTTCTGTTGTCTAGACCTAAAATCATGTTTTAATTTCTAGGAGTTACTGATGTTAACTTGCTTGCCACCTCCTTCATGTTTAGAAGAAAAGGACTACAGAATTTGTATGGATAAGTGCCGAAATTAACAGGCTGGTAAGTTAAGGAACATCCCAGGAGAAGCTCTGAGTATTTCATTCCATGGTGTGATTATTTGACCTCTCCCCCAAACCTGAGAGGTTCCTTCGTGACTAACAGGAAAAAAAAGCAACTGGAGACAGGATGTGGATGGAAAAAAGAGTAAGAGGAAAGAACAACTTCGCCTACATACGTACTAAACATATAACCTGACCAAATTATCAAACAGCTACAGATCATCTTACTGCTTCTAAAAAAATTGTGTATCTTGGGGCGCCTGGGTGACTCAGTTGGTTAAAAAACCGACTCTTAGTTTCAGCTCTCATGGGTTTGTGAGATGGAGCCCTGTTGTTGGGCTCTGCACTGATGGTGGTGATAAGCCTGCTTGGGATATTCTCTCTCACGCTCTTTCTCTCTCTCCCTGCCCCTCTCCTGCTTTCGTGTGCTCTCTCTCTCAAAATAAATTTTAAAACAATAAAAAAAATTATCTTCAGTTTTTACCTACTGGGACTTTAAGAACTGCTTATAAGAAAGTCATGTGTCGGGGCACCTGGGTGGCTCAGTGGGTTAAGCGTCTGACTTCAGCTCAGATCATGATCTCACGGTTCCGTTTGTGAGTTCAAGCCCAGCGTTGGGCTTCACATTCTCTCTCTCTCTCAAAAATAAACGTTAAAAAAAAAAAAAAAAAATCCTGTATCCAAGTTCAAAACCAGCATTTTCGTGCCCTTTCTGTACTCCTTACCCTTCAGAGTGTTGCACTGCTTGGTGATATGTACTGTATTCATTCATATAATTTTGTCCACCAAATTCTCAAGACAATAGTACTAATGCAATCTAGGGCATTTACCCCAGATGCCACAAGCTATCTACACACATGTGTTTATATGTGCACACACATTCAATTTATCCCCTCGACAAGTCTGAGAGCTGGCATTTATGAAGTATGGAGCAGGTTCTAATCTTCACTTTACTACTTGCTAACTGAAATGTCCCCGTGTACATTCTCCATCTATGCCTCTGTGCTGTCATCTGTAAAATAACAAGGATAACACTAACTCATATGGCTATTTTAAGTCTTAAATAACTTGATATATGTAAAACACTTAAAATAGCCTGACTCCTACGAAATGCTAATAAATATCAGCAATAATCATTATCTTCACGTTACAGATAAAGAAACTGAGGCCGATTTGTTAAATAACTTTTACAAAGTCACACAGCTAGTTAAGTGGCAAAGCTGAGATCCAAACCCATAGTGTGGATCTGGAATCCAGGTTCTTAACCACTATCTTTATATTTTCTCTAAGGATATCTTATCCTGTTTCAAATCAACAATGGCAGGCTTGTCTATATTTGTGAAAATTTTTTCTTTTTCTAATTTTTTTTTAATGTTTATTTTTTGAAAGAGTCAGCACAGAGCCTGATGCAGGGCTTGAACTCACAGGCCATGAAATCATGACCTGAGCCGAAGTCAGACTCTCAACCAACTGAGACACCCAGGCGTCCCAAAGAAAATTCTTTACAAAACATGCATTGCCACTGTCAAAGTACCAAGACATAAAGCCCCCAACAGAACCTACATTAAAATCAGAAACAGCAGGCCCCACATCCCAAAACCCAGAACCATCTCAAGCACACACAAGCGCTTGTATAACTACCCAGGAGTAAGGTTTCAGACCCAAAACTGCTGTAGACATTCTATTCCAAGCCACGTGAGACATTCAGGCTCAGTGGGCAGTCTCAATGGTTTGTGAAAACTCAGACCAATCTGTGCAAGAGAGTACAGAAGGAGATCAGGGCACAGTCAGGTCCCCTTCCTACCCTCCTCCTCCCGCCACATCAGCAACGTCCAAGAGAAGCAGGCTGTACCTGTCCCTTGCCGCCATTTCTACAAGCACACTTCACTGAGAGGAAAAACAAAAGGCAATGAAAGATCACCTTACCTTTTTAAAAATTTTTCCATTTGGTTGTACTTCATCTTCCTCATTTAAAATTTCACGTGTCCCCAAGAGTCTTTTGTCCTTAAATTTGTTTTTTGCATACATAAAGACTTTATCTAGTGTATCACATCCGGGGTATAATACGGAGGCCAAACCATCCAAACTGTTAACAGATCTGTATGCAGACTCAGGTTTTGAATTCACAGGCTTTGCTTTAATTCGGTTTGATTTTTCTTGTCTTGTCTCAAACAAAAAATAATATGGAATGTATGTTATAACAGTATAAAGTGATATTATAAAATGTATGAAATACAAAAGAATGGGGTTGATGGTCTGTTTTAGCTTCATGGTAGATGGTTTTGAAGATACGTGGTTATTCATAAGTGCTCAAAAAGTAGAATTAACAGATTTCCATAAGAATCTAGAAGGAAGAGAAAGAAAGGTATTAGTTCAAAATCATTTTTAAGTAACTTTAAAGAAAAATCCTTCATTTTAGGTGGGCAAATGAAGATATTTTTTTCCAATCAAGCAGCAGCAAGTATTGGCCTCCAGCAGTGTCCTGTCCACCCCTGATACGGTACATGTGAGTGTCTTCCAAGTGTCTTGTATCTCTTTCCACATCATTCTATAAACAGGTGGCTTTTGCAACCTAACGCCAAGTGGTGAAGAAGGAACAGGCCAGAAGACCTACATCAGAATCCACACCAAAAACGTACCGATTTCCTCTTCCCGGCAATCTCCTTACTTCCCTAGGGAACGCAACGGTATACACCAGTTCCTGCCTCGTGGCTCGGCAGCCACTATCAAATAATCACTGCATTCTCTCCCAGTGGGCCCCGTTCCCTCTCTCTAGGCAGCAACAAGCAACTGGAGTTGGCAAACAACACAGAATCCACTTTTTGTGTGATATTTTCCAATTTAGGCCGGTTGGATGGTGAAGCAAGGAGGCTGTAAACCTTGGTCTTTATACTTATATCATCAGATTTGTTGACAATCTACTATGTGTCCGATACTGTCCTAAGTACAGGAAATACAACAGTGAACGTCCTCTCATGGAGTCCACGCAGTCGCTGGGAGCAGCGGACGAACAAATATACGTACGTATGCCAAGTGTCGGCAAATCCCTGGAGGAAAAATGAACCAGGGAAGGGAAACACGAGGTGAATGGGCAAGGCTGGAGAGACGCTCTATGAGGGGCCCACAAGAGCCGCCCGGGCTGTGGCAGAGTCCCTCTCTAAGGAACGCGGTAAGGCCTTCTCAGAACAAAGGAAGGCAACGTGCAACGTGGCCCAATCAACTTCTCTACACATACGCATAGCTCTGAAACGACTCTGTAACTTGGACTATGTCCAATCGGACTATATGCGTCACCATATATGGGACACAAAGAAGTGGAAATCGCATAAAAGGCTACAACCCGTTGTACTTGGGGCTCAGTTTTTCAGGTACGAACCCACTGAGCCCGTGCCGGCACGACGAACAAAGTTGCTTCCTGGACAAAGAAAGCCTCGGTGTCCCGTTTCTCTGTGGGAGAACCCTGTTCTAGGGCCAGTGATATCCGAGCAGAGGCTTACAAGGAAGAGAGAGAGTGGGCCACATGCCTATCGGAGGGAAACTGAGCACTCAAGAGGAAACACTCCTTTGTGTGGTAGGTAGGTAACAACATCATTTTTGAAGAAACGAAACTGAAGCAAACTACTAATGACTCCATCCAGCTTCAAACCCGGGGGTTATGATTTCTAGCATGCTCAGCTCCTCTCCCCAACTCCATGCTGTAGAAATTCTATTCCAGGCAAATGTGGCCAAGAAATGTGAGGAAGCTCTACTGCGGGCACAGCAGGCCAAGAACGCTGGTCACCAGTTACCCTTGCCTCAGCCTGTCGATAACGTCCAGACAGAGAGCAAAGCTCCAGAGAAGACCAGTGGCGACAGCCACAGCCCACCACCTCACTCCCAGAACACAGGCCAGGCTGCTGTCCCTGCCCCTGGCTCTGGAGCAATGGCACACGGGTTCCTCTCAGGCCAAAGCAGGCTGTAAGGACAGAGAGCCCCTTAGCAACCCCCAAGTGGGCTGACTTTCGTCAGAACAGAGAACAGGGAGCTCAGGCCTAGTGGCGCTGAGGAAAACAATAGAGACCTTGGTGAGGAGCGATTCGGCCGAGGCTGGTAGTTCCAGGAGAGCAAGGAAGGAGTAGAGTAAATAGAAGTTTCATGGAATCAGGGAAAAGAGAACCTAAGAAGAGCCCTTCTGGAGTCAGGACAGCTCAAAGAGTGGCCTCAAACACAGCCCCTTTACAAAGGCCATATAATTTGACTGGATCACACGGTGAGGCAATTTACGGCCCAGGGCTCTGTCCAATACGATAAGGCAATCAGCTAGCTATCAGCGGAGAATAACTGCTGGACGTGAACTTGGCAGAAGTTTAACAAGGAGATCAGAGAAAGAAAATAGTTAAAGAGCGTCCTACTAAAACCATGCTGTCATCCCCTAAAGAGGGCACTTCAAGGGCACTCTGTGTGCTCCCAAGGGGGAGGTGGGGGGTGGAAACTGCAGTGAAACTTGGCTGGAAAGCCAGCCAAGTCACTAAACAAACAGGCAAGCAAGCAGCACAACAGCAAGAAGCCAGGGGAAAGGGGGAGGGGAGTCAGCATTCAGAAATGCTGAAATGTGCAGCTTACAGCAAAAAATTATGGGGCATACAAACAGACAGCAAAGGAAGACCCAAACACAGTGGGAGAAAGCAGGCAACAGAAACTGTCCACAAGAGGGCCCAAATGTCAGACTCAGACAAGACATCAAAGCAGCTATCATAAACACGTTCAAAGAACTAAGGGAAAAATTAAAAGTCCAGAGATGCCTGGCTGGCTTGGTCAATAGAGCAAACAACTCTTGATCTCAGGGTTGTGGGTTCAAGTCCCACGCTGGGTACAGAGATTACTTAAAAAATAAAACCCTAAAGGGGTGCCTGGGTGGCTCAGTCAGTTAAGCGTCCGACTTTGGCTCAGGGCATGATCTCACAGTCCGTGGGTTCAAGCCCCATGTCGGGCTCTGTACTGACAGCTCAGAGCCTGGAGCCTGCTTCAGATTCTGTGTCTCCCTCTCTCTGCCCCTCCCCGGCTCACACTCTGTCTCTCTCTCTCTCTCTCTCTCAAAAATAAAAACATTAAAAAAAATTTTTTTAAATAAATAAAACCTTCAAAAATAAAGTAGATGTCCAACTCTGCAATTTTACAAGATAAAGAACACCTCCAAATTTGCCCACGCAAAGCTGGTGAGAAGCCACGACCCTCAAATAGTCCCCAGGCTCTGTTCACCGTTCCACACTGTTTTCTTTGACAAGTCATCTGGAGGAAGAGTCCAGAGAATCTCGATTTATGCCATTAATGGGGACCCATTGAAAGTCTCTATTTAGGAAAATGGCACAATAAAAAATAAACGGTCCTGGGGTACCTGGGAGACTCAGTCAGTTAAGCTTCTGACTCCTGATTTTGGCTCAGGTCTTGACCTTACAGTTCATGAGATCGAGCCCCGTGTCATGTTGGGCTCTGTGCTGACAATGTGGAGCCTGCTTTGGATTCTCTCTCTCTCTCTCTCTCTCTCTCTCTCTTTCTCTCTCACTCTCAAAATAAATAAACATTTAAAAACAAAACAAAAAGACAAATGGTCCTACTACTTCCAGGACATCAGAGCTGCAAAGAATAAAATGTATCTCAATAATCCAGGGGAAGGATGTTACCTAAGTATTCTCCCTGAAATTTTATTTCACATGTCTGTGTTTTGAATTAAAAAATAACACTGTAATAAAAAAAATCTTATCTGCATATAATGACTGTATGATGACTGTACAGAAAATACTAACTAATCCATTAAAAAACTAATAGAACTAATAAGCAGCTCAGCAAAAGTCGCAGCGTGGACGATGAATATATACAGATCAATTGTATTTCTATACAGTAGCAATGAACAATCAGAAAACTAGGCTAAAGCAATTATATTTATCAGAAATAATACTTGGGATAAGATATAACAAGAAGTTTACTATGATAACCAGAAAACACTGTTTAAAGATATTGAAAGCCTAAATAAATGGAAAAACATCTGCTATATATGGACTGTAAGACTTACTACTGTTAAAATGACAACATTCTCCAAACCGGTGCACAGATTCAACACAATCCTTATCAAAATCTCTACTGGCTTTGATACAGAATCTTTCAAGCTAAAATTTGCATGGAAATTCAAAGTAGCCAGAACAGCCAAAACAACCTTGAAAAAGAACACCGCTGGAGGGGTCATACATCTCAATTCCAAAACTCAGCACAAAGCAATAGTGATCAAGACAGGGTAGTACTACTAGCAAAGGGATTGAGGGGTGCGGGGATAGAGATTTTTAAACAAAGGACACCACATAATTTGAATAAGCACCAGAAGCAGCAGGAGTTCCAGTGGAGCAGGGTGGGGGTGAGGAGACAGGGGCAGGGCATTAAAGTCCAATCCTTAGGTCCTTTAATGCTGAGAAGAAACTTCATGGGCGTTCCATTGTACACTGCATTCCAGTGTTTTAGAAAATTAGTTAACCATGGGGCGCCTACGTGGCTCAGTCGGTTCAGCGTCTGACTTTGGCTTAGGTCATGATCTCACAGTTTGTGGGTTCGAGCCCCACGTCGGGCTCTGTGCTGACAGCTACAGCTCAGAGCCTGAAGCCTGCTTCGGATTCTGTCTCCCTCTCTCTCTACCCCTCCCCCATTTATGCTTTATCTTTCTCTCTCTCTCCCTCTCTCTCCCTCCATCTCTCTCTCTCTCTCTCAAAAATGAATAAACATTAAAAAAATTATTAAAAAAAAAGAAAATTGGCTGTCAGCTAAAGGCAGCAGAAACATGAGGCAACGCGATCAGATGAACCAGAGTTGAAAATAACCCTCTGCTCCTGGGAGTAGGGTGACTAACGTGTGTGACGGGAAGCCAGCAGCTAGGATTCCCAGCTCCCAATTGCCCAACTGCCCAGAGGGTGGCAGCAGCCACTGTTCTTCCAGGCCTTCCCAACAACTGAAATCTTTCTTAACACAGTGCAGGTGGATCAGAATCCTAGAGAGGAAAGTCCCGAATGAGAGGAGCTGCAGTAAAAGAAGGGAAATGGCTTGGGTGCCTTCAAGTGAGACAGAGACACGAGAAGTAGCTGGTCAGCAGCTGGATGGCTGGTGGGAAGGAGACGAATGCAAGTCTTGACACTAAGGAGTTTAAGATGCCTGTGAGTCATCCAAACATAGAAACTATGGGAGTTAAGAGGGATCAGAGCTGGAAGCACACCTTTTAGGGCCATAATCAGATGGAGGAGGACAAGGTAGGAAATCTCCGAGATCAAGTTCAAGGACAGAAAACTCTGGAGGGAAACCAAAGCCAAGACTGAAGAGCAAAATCCCACTGGCGAGACCAATAAAAGCAGAACCTGGAGAGGGCAGGACCATGAAAGCCAAGCGTTGGGAGAGCCGAAGAGGAAGCGTTCAGTAGCATCACACGCAGCCTACATGTACCAGCCACATGCAATGAAGACATTTAATTTTTCTAAAATGTTTTAGACAAACAAGGTAAAGTAACAAACCTTTGGCCAACTGCATCCTATTTGCTGAAGGGGCTGTGGAAAATCTAGAACTAGGAAAGCAGTCACAGGTACCCTCTTATGTTGCCTCGTCTTAGAATGAGTATCACCTTTCAGAAAACAAACCTGAACAATTAACTCTGTTCATTTCCTTCACAACTTTTAGATTTCCAATCCACTTTAAGAAGGCCTCGTCCATCCCAGGGTTAAACTACTGTCCTCCTGTATTTTTTCCAGGATTTACATAATTTTTACATTTAGACCTTTAATCATTATGGAGTTTGTTTTTCCACATTGTACAAGGGAGAAAGCCAACTTCTTCTTTCAGATGAATTACCTGAACTGCTTATTAAATCAACCCCACTTTTCTCAACGACCAAAACGTGATCTTCAACAGTGAGTTCTTGTTCACAACCGGATCTGTGTCTAGACATTATTCTGCTCCTTGGACCTGTCTACTGCTTTGTCATGCCTCCAAATACAGTAGATTTACAACAGTGATTCTCAACTGTGATACATGGACCAATCATCCCAGAATTGCTTAGAGTGTATTTAAACAGAAGGCTCCTCAGACAGGTCTCCCCATTCTTTCCTCCCTATAAGCTGAAAACTCAACTGGCAGACTCACTTTTAAACAACCACCATGTAAGTTTTATGTGCACTGTTTGAGAACTACTATTTTAAATATCTAGTAAGACTCACACTCTGCATGTGCTTCAAAACTTTCTTATCAATTCTTACAGATTTACTCTTCTACATAAATTTTAAAGATTTAACATTTGTCTGGTGAAACTATTTGAAAATCAAAAGGAAAAAACACATGACAAAATATACAAAGAGCTGTTATAAATTAAAAAGAAAAAAGAGTCAAGCGTCGTAGAGGAAAACAAAAGAAAAAATGCATACAGGTGTGAAGGTCACTGTTGACCTTGAAAATAGCTGTGTTGGGGCGCCTGGGTGGCGCAGTCGGTTAAGCGTCCGACTTCAGCCAGGTCACGATCTCGCGGTCCGGGAGTTCGAGCCCCGCGTCGGGCTCTGGGCTGATGGCTCAGAGCCTGGAGCCTGTTTCCGATTCTGTGTCTCCCTCTCTCTCTCTGCCCCTCCCCCGTTCATGCTCTGTCTCTCTCTGTCCCAAAAATAAATTATCGTTGAAAAAAAAAAAAAAAAATAGCTGTGTTAAGGATCAAAGCCCAACTGGAGAGAGTTTAGGAAAGAAGAGGAGGAGCACTTTAAAGAGGAACAGAGAAGTGGATACTAGGACAGGACAAAGCAGGCTCTTTTGTTTTAAAGATAAGAGATAGTTATAGCTTGTCTTCATACTGAGGGCTATGACCCAGTAGAGGAAGAAGAAGATTAAGCAGAACAGAGAGTGAGACACAGCACACAAGTGGAAGAGGTTGGCCTTACAGAGGAACAGGGGCACAGATGCATGTGGGCGGTACCAGGAGCTAGTAGAAGATTCTTTTCTGAGTGCTTCTATCTTCTCAGAGTAATAGGAAGCAAAATCACTGGCTGAAAGGGAGGAAGAAAGAAAGATATTAGAAAATTAAGGAGAGAGGGGCACCCAAGTGGCTCAGTCAGTTAAGCATCCAACTCTTGATTTTGGCTGGGGTCATGATCTCGCAGTTCATGGGTTCAAGCCTCGTGTTGGGCTTTGCACTGACAGCACGGAGCCTGCTTGGGACTCTGACTCTCTCTCTCTCTCTCTCTCTCTCTCTCTCTCTCTCCGTCCTTCTCCCTCCTCTCAAAATAAAGAAACTTAAAATTAAGGAGAAGTAAAGTATCAAATAATCATCTAGGAGAACAGGAAAATAGATGGAGCAGGAGCCAGTAGGCTCCCTCGGCAGCGCCTAAAGCCCGCCTGAGGTCTGAGTCCTGATGTAAAGAGAGACCCACCCAGCTGTTGTGTGCTTCCCAGCCAAGTTCGGCTGGTGGAGCACAAATGTGAATCAGACAGAGAGCTGCATTAACCCAGGAGAGGGTTTTACCAGCAAGTACCAGAACAAAACGTGGGGAAGGGGAGGAAGACAAGGGAATGAAGGCTATTTCCAAGGCAGTGGCTACAATGACTAATCAGGGAGTTTTAAGCCGAGGAAAGGATAGCTCCTGAGGTAAAGGGTTGGTGAAAAAGAGACAAGATCAAGGCAATCAGGTCCTGCGTTGGGTTACAGAACTGTTGGCGTTGAGGTACTAAAAGAGAGCAAGATGGAACTGTCTTACTAAAAGGAGGTGATGGTCTGAATCGAATGCTTGAGACCGACAGTGTAGAAGGCATACAGTTATTGTTCATGAAGAGGACTAGGTTGTGATAACAAAGGGACAGCAAAGGCAGAGTATGAGATCATTTAAGGACAGGAGGTCAAGAAATTCAACTGGGAAGATATTGAAACCACTAAGAATCATGACAGGATAGAAGCAGAGTCATAGCTTGATGTTCAAGTATTTCAGGAATAAGGGGATAGATGACTGCAACAAGAAGGAACAGTAAGCAGTACAATTTAAAGGCAAAGCTTGGAGGACATGCCACTATCACTTCAGAGGCAAAAAACTGTGTTAAAGTAACCAGATTAGGCCCAAGATGGAGTCACTCAGGCTAAACCCAAGTCAGCAACCCAAAACTTAAGCTTCCACCGTTAGCTCACAGAGAAATAGAAGACTTGGGTCAACCAGTCGGCGCTTGCCCTCTCAGCAAGTTACCTGAACTGGCTCCAAGACGTTCCTTTGCTCCACATGAGAAAAGTAACCCTGCCTTAAACAATCAGCAAATGCCCAGTATACCTTCCGTATTTCTGCTCCCTTTGATCTATAGAAACTTCACCTTTCAGAGCTCTTTGGAGCTCCCTTCTATCTACTCATTGGATGCTGCCTGATGAATGAATTACTGTATCGGTAAATTGTTCGTGGGAAATTTTCTCTAAACAACTGAAAACAAAATGATCTAAATCAATCAAAGGAAAAGCTGAAGAACATATACATCCGCAGTATGGACGATGAGGCAGCCATTAAAACTAGTTATATGTACTTGCAGTTGACCTGAAGGGACTTCCATGCACCTTGCTAGTTCTTAAAAAAAGGTATATACGGGCCTGCATGGTTTATGTCTGACAACAGTATGGACAGGTCAAGGTTTTTAAGCAATTATTTATAAATTTTAAAGGAAGCTATTTTGGGTCAAAGTACATTAATTTCCCACCATAAAGAATATAAAAACTTCCATCTTTACTATACTCCCAGAACTGCTAATTAAAATAACAAGCTGACTCAAGTTTAACAACATTAAAAGAAAATGACCCATCAAATACAATCTTTTTTTTTTTTTAGCAAA